CACAAAGTTCCAGTTAGCCATAATTCTACCAAGCTAGGGGAACACTTAAATGTATCTGAAGAACCAAAATGCAAACCTTCTACTTGAAGATGAACTAAAACCTAAATATATATTTTCTGCAAATAATTTGTAACATGTTCCATCAGTTGCCATTATGCATTCTATTTTCATATTACTATTAAAGCTGTAACATTTTGGTGTAAAACATCATAGTGTTGCCCTCTATGGGTTGAAGTGTTGCTACTACGCGCTGTTTAGGGTGGTACATGTCTATGTAACAGCCCTGCATTGGGGTATAGTGGTGCTTTTGTTTACCTCGAAAAATCGAATCTGGGAAGTAAAAGTGAAGTAATCTCAGTGACTGCATTCCAATTTGCTTCTTGTAGATGCTCCTGTTCTCCATTGTATATAAATGGTCACTATAGCCTCTGTTACAACAATAACAATGACAGCAACACCGTCCTATGTGATATAATGACTTCCAAGTACTAACTAAAAACACTATTAATTCATCTCTCTCAAAGACACGGCATAGTGACAAGTCGGTCGTTGAAATTGTGAACACTGATTCTCAGGTTAGTTTTTATAAACTAGTCAGAAGTCAGTAGAGTGTTTTAACTGGGATACTCATGCAACCAAAACCTGGATAAAGCCTTATATTTATCTCTGTTCTTGGCCATGTCTCTCAACACTGCCCATGGTGGCATTTCAAAATACAACCAAATCTGATTATAATTTTTGCAGGTCTATCATAGGTTTTAAGAAAAGAGGAGGAAATCTTGGTGATGAGAATACATTTAAGAATAGATTTTAGCCACATTTCATCCATCAGATAACAGGTGGAAGAAATAAAACTAGGAATATTTTGTTTTTCCAGTTCATCATCTTATGTAGTTCTGTTGACTTTGTCTCTCCATCTAGTTTCTGCAACAAGAGCCACAAGTCCATCTAAACAGGAGTTGATACCTGTTCTCCTTCGCACTGCATTTTTTATGTCTGAAGACACATAATTTTTGTTTGGGGTTTGGTGACATGAAGTTACTCAGCAATACTCAAAACGTCAGAGGCTTACAGGATGAGACAATATAAAAAAAACTATCATGAACAAATATTGATTGTTTGATGACTGTGCTGATCTAAAAATCAAGTTAAAATGTGAAATCTTCAGTTGCCTAACAAGGATAACATATTAAAAGTGTATCTGATATCTAAATTTAGAGGTATGTGGAATATTGGAATTCATAAACAGTGGGAACAACATTAGTTATTTGATTTTCTTAATGATTTATGTCTCTCTGCTGCATTTTGTACTTCCTGGTCAAATACATGCAAATTTGAATGTAATCTAATACACTTTCACACAAGAAAATACACAAAAAAGATCAAATACCATGCAGTGCTAGGGGGTGGTTATCCAGAATGACTTCAGTCATCATGGTAAACTGGCAGTATCTGCAGGAGCCATAAAGACAAATAAATGTATCAACAGATAATTCTGCAAGCTCATCTGGGAGAGAGAAAGGATTTCTCTTCCCTGAAACTAGGATGTACATACGGAGCATATTTAGTCTGACATAGCTCTTGGTTACCACCACTTTTTTTATAAATTTTTGTCTCCTTTCTCTGCCTTCAATAGTTTGCAGCCAGAAACTTTGCAGTAAGTATACAGAACAGCACCGTGGACATCTGCATTCACATGTGTGAGCAAGAGTTTGCGATTTCAGCGATTTGGGTGTGTAGCGTGTAAAAGGACATTACTATCGTATCTTGGTTCCAATTTCTCCACACAAAATTTGTGGAAGAAAGTAAGTGAGCAGAAAGAGAATGAAAGAAGATGATAAAAGAGAAGTGGAAAAGAGAAAAAGAGAGAAACAAAAGATCTTAAACAGAGTAAAAAGAGATATCAGGAAAAATGGATCTCAGAGATAGAATCAGGCGCATTGTACAGAATGCAGATCACATTAACGGTAGAAAAAGTCTCCAAATAGGTTTTGTCAAGTATGTGAACAAGATGATGTTCCCATCGTCAGGCATTGTGCGGGTTGACAGAGCAGAACATGCCCTCTGGGGTAACACAGGCTGTGTGTGTACTGGAGGTGGCTCCAAAATTATGCTCATTAAGGAGAGCCTTCTTAGGAAACATTAACAGCTCAGGCAGCTATATAACCCATCATGACACAGACATTGCTGATACTAAGGTGAAAGGCATGGAGATCTATATCTTCTGGTTGATTATTTCAGCTTCCACACGAGGGTAAAGAGGAAACTAAAAAAAACATCCATCCATCCGTCCGTCCAAACATCCGTCCGTCAATCCATCCACCCATCCATCAATCCGTCCGTCTGTCTGTCCGTCTGTCCAACCATCCATCCATCCACCCATTTGTCCATCCATCAATCATTCCATCCATCCACCAATCCATCATCCATCCTTCTGCCCATCCATCCGTCTGTCCATCTGTCTATCCACCGGTCCGTCTGTCCAACCATCCATCCATTTGTCCATCCGTCAATCATTCCATCCATCCACCTACCAATCCATCATCCCTCCATCCATCCATCCGTCCATCTGTCTATCTACTAATCAATCCGTCCTTCCTTCCATCCATCCATCCATCCATCCATCCATCCATCCATCCATCCATCCATCCATCCATGCATCCATCCATCCAGCTACAGAAGGACCACCATCACTATTGTCTAATTCTTCTTACTGATACCTTCTAATGTGGAGAAAGAAATTAACAAATTTGCAACATTGCACACCATTATATAATTGGTTAAAACATGGATATCAATCCATCCATCCATTTTCTTACACGCTTGTCCCGAGTGGGGTCGCGAGGGGTTTTCCGGATGCCTATCTCCAGCAGTCAATGGGCGAGAGGCAGGGTACACCCTGGACAGGTCGCCGGTCCATCGCAGGGCAACACAGAGACAAACAGGACAAACAACCATTCATGCAAACACTCACACCTACGGAGACCTTAGAGAAGTCAATTAACCTAAGAGTCATGTCTTTGGATTGTGGGAGGAAGCTGGAGTACCAAGAGAGAACCCAGCATGCACAGGAAGAACATGGTAACAGAAAGACCCCAGGCCGGTAATTGAATCCAGAACCTTCTTGTTGCAAGGCAGCAGTGCTACCCACTGTGCCACTGAGCATCCAACCTGGAAATCATTATTTCATCAATCATCATGTTATTCTTTATTTTTCATATTCTCATTTACTGCTTTTGGAGAGACACTTATAACAACACATTCAAAGAAAATCAGATTACATGACCCTTTTTATTTATTTGTTCTTGATATCAAAAGACACACTTTCTTTCTAGTCCATACTGGGGACACTTATTTATTAGTCCATCATTAAGAAATGTTTTTGTTGTTTTGTTTTCCCATTACCTTTGAGTGGTTGTATGGGTGGCAGAAAATAGATGCTGCTAAACATGAAATAAATTTAATTTAAACCCCCTGCCTTAGAACGCCATAGTAAAGATCAGAGATGTTTGGTGTATTCTTTTTTATGGACAAATAATACAAGCAAAAATGTACTCACTCAAAACAAAATAATAATCTAGATAAAATAACATGTTATATTTTAGTATAAATTTTTTTTTATTATATTTTAGTTAGTCCAAATCTATCTTACCCAGACACACACCAGTAGGGATCTTTCAGTGTCCTCACCCTGCCAACCTTATGTTGATATCAAACACACACACAGTATAACTGTACACCGAACCCTAAAGGGAGCACTATAAATATGGGGTGGGTCGATAACTATCTACCAGAGTGGAGACTTATAGTTTTTTGCTGATGTGCTGACTTCAGGTCAGGAATCAGTGCTCCTCTTTTGCTGAGATAAAGAATTTGGACCCTTTAAATCTTATCATGGTCCATTATGTGAGTGAGTGTGTGCTCATTCATGCAATAGTGAATTAAAAGTAACTGTCTGTCTTCAGGGAATGCTCTGAAATAGAGAGGGTCATTATTTTCAACGTATAGTAGCTCTCCTGGTTAGCAGATTGGGTTCATGAATTGTGCAATGTTCGCTTGCAGATCCTCAGACGGCTTGCTCTCAGCAGAGCAAAGACAATTTGTTGTTTTTTCAATACCAAGAACAACTTCAACGCTCATGCAATAACACATTATTTGACTAAGCCCTAAATATTGTGCAGGACTAATTTATTTAATATACTAACTTCACCAGGAACATCTGCACAGACACACTAAAAAGCTTTAACAAACATACATCTGAAAGACTCTCAATAGTGCTGCTGTCTGACACTTTAATTGAAAGCTGGACAAAACAAATTTCGTAAATAAACATAAATCAAGGCCACCGTATGCCCTATTTCTGTCGCTATGTTCAGTTTTCTTGTCTAAAAGCATACTTTAGCCACTTTTTTTCAACCTTGTCAGCCCACCTGAGTGCTGAGCCCATCGTTTAATGTCACCTTGTCAGAACCCATCTTCTCAGAAGCTGTAGAAATTCCTTTATGAGCTCTGCAAAGTACATAATGTGCTCCCTATTTCTCACCTCCAGGCACATAATATGACAGCAGCTCTGCTACATTTACCCTGTCGTCAATATTTAACCCTTCTGAAGTGTGAGCAGATAAAAACCCACTCAAGATTAAAAGACTGAATGTATGACAGGATGTTTGGTTGGAGCATCTTTCACAAACAGTGATTATTAATTAACCCTGTCTAACATGTCAGTTTTTCTACTTTGAAGAGAATGTCTAAATTAATGTAAAGCACAAACCTTTTAGAGACACATCATTGCAGAATTTTAAACAGCTTTTTATTTTTAAAACAGTTAAATCTCACATGTAACATCAAGTTGTTTACCGGTATATATATATATATATATATATACTGTATATATATATATATATCACCAAATTTTATCACCATCACCAAAAGTTTTTCTACCTTTAATGTGATCCATATTCTGTACAATATGACAGGTTGCTCCAATGTGTACACAATAGACTAATACTTTATTAAACCATAATTTTCTGCAGTTTCAGCACTCAGTCTTTTTTAGAGGGCTATCAGTATAGAAAGTCTGTTAGGCAAACATATAGAAAATATGCCATTTTTTCCTCACCTCACTTTATGAAAATGTATCTACTGTATGTGACTACAGATTTTCGGTCAGATTTAGTCCTGGACTCTGGCTTCAGCTAAGACATTCACAACCTCCAATGCTCCATGCTCCTCTTGAAGCAGCTTTTGTTGATTAGCATAAATGTTTTTAGTTACCTTTATTCTGTAAGATGAAAACCCTCTATATCCCTAACTGGTTTGGTTAAAACTGACTGGAGCTGATTATAATGTTCTCCAGAGAGAACAAGTTAAATTCTGAAAAACAGTAACCACAAATCCTGACCCTGCTTATAACAGGTTTCACTGATGGTTGAATTTACATTAGCATCAGCTTTGTTCTATAAAATTATATATTTTTTCTGAACAAAATCACTTTAATCAAACCTCAAACAGACGTAAATAGTAGTAGAGTGGATTTTTACAAGGAAAAAAACATCTAACCACCTAAGCCTGACTTAAAACTTTCTATGCATATTATATATGTACCTCACATGCTGATATTAAAGATACTTTGCACCTTGAACCCTTAATAATACCAGCTGAGCTTTATTTCTGGTTATTTTCTGGCTGTCTGAGTCCAAACTGGAGAATACTTAGTTGCAAAATTAAATCAAAAGGTGCTTCAACAAAGTAGCAGTTTAAATATGTGTACAGCAATTATGCTTATGCATCTTTGGACTTTAATATTTAAAGTATCTTTATTGTTCAGTCTATTTTCCCTGTATAGCTTGGGAAAGGGGATTCAAAGTTTTGAAATGGTCTCGTGTTTCACGTCATGAGAATTTGCCATTAAAACAGGGATTTGGACAAGTAGACAAGCTCCTGCTGAAAAAAAATCACTCTTTCACTGCCTTTACATCACATTTTGTCATTTGGTCTTTTGGGGACATTTTTTTCCTGCACTCTGTGATTCTCAGACAGATTTTGTGACGTGAAATGTCACAAACAAAACTGACTAAGCAAAGAGGAAAAACAAAGAAAAGACCCAAAACAAGCTCAAGTAACCTCTAAAGTAGGGCAATGCAGAATTACAATGTTGCTTTAGATGGAAATTAACTGCTCACCACTGAAGCATAAATAGAGACAAGAGATTGTGCAATGACAATTTTATGGTGAAGGAACCATGAAAAAGACAAAATGTCCCAGTTTTGTGAAATTAAATCTTGGTTTGAATCGAGCATGTTGTGTAGAAATTATTTATTGAGTGATATCATAGTGAACAACAGCTTTAAATGTTCTTAGTTTTATAGCGGCAGTGCAGTGAGCAAAATATGATGTCATCAGACTCACAGTGGGATGTCAATGCCGTGTCTTTGTTGCATTATATCTGCTAAGCATTCAACCCAATCCAAAGTCTGACAGAGCTTCCAAAATATCAAAATCTGTCCCTGCATAGTTTATTTTAGGAGATCATCTCTTGTCTTCATCATGTTGACTGAAAGCTTTAAAATCCATTTAGATAAGCAGAAAGTTGAATCTTTGTCCAATTCGGTCCTAATTTAAATTGCAATGTTGCAAATTCAACATGTGTAGCTTGCTGCCCTGATTAGGCATCAGATCCAATCAACAGCCACTGATTGCTGCTGGGGATTTTTTAAGCTTTCAGAAAGAGATGTTTGCTTGAAGTTTTCTCCTCTGTGTTGAAGACCCGAGAAGACTCTAGAAATCTCCATATCTATGGAAAGAAAAGAATAACATAATAAATGCAGTATTAAAAAAAATATCATTCTAGAGCAGAAATATACAAGAAGTAAATGCTGTAGGATCAAATATTTGATATGAAGAAATCTCATTTTAAATTTTATCGATATGAAATCTTTTAAAACATCTGCATTATTTTCTATTTTATTGCAATATCTAAATCTCTAATCCACTACTTCTAGTTTTTATTACCACTCCACACAAAGACATCCCCACGGCATAATTCTACCGTATAACATTTCACCCCGAGCTTTATATATTCCAAATGATTCAAGTTATAGCTTTTGGATAATTTTCTTCTCCATATAGTGCTTGGTAGGTAGGCTAAACACTTAAACTTTGTCTCATGTGACCACAGTAAGTTATTCATGTTCACTGCACATGCTCAATGGTTTGGCAATTATTAAATGAAATTTGAATTTCATCTGATGGCTTTCCCCCTCCAATGTTTAAAAAAATACGAAATTAACCGATGTTTTATTAAAAAAATAAACATTTGAAAATCATTGTTTTTACAATACAGTTTTCTGATATGTTCATGTGATCTATAACATTAAATTAGACTAAAATAAATTGAATTATGCCCTGCGATGGACTGGCAACCTATCCAGGGTGTACCCCGCTCTCGCCGTAGACAGCTGGAGATAGGCACCAGCACCCCTCGCGACCCCAGCAGGGATAAGCATGATAGAAAATGGATGGATGGATAAATTGAATTAAGTTTTTTTAGAATGCATCAAAACATGAAAAGAAAAAAAAAAAGAAGAAGGGCAGGGTCAATATTTTTGCTAAGCACAGTAAGACAGGACAAGGCAAGTTTATTTATATAGTTTTTTAAAAGTACAGATAATAAAGATGGCTGAGACGAAGTATTTAGCAAAACTTTAGACCACATGTTAAATCAAAGGCCTATACATATGCAGCTTTGCAGATGAACCATACAAATTATCTGAAGATTTGGGATGCAGCGGGAAAAACCCGAAACCAAATGTAAAAAATTGACAAGTCTTATATTGCAGAATATTGATGCACCATTAATCTCACTTTTTGTGAAGCTATGGGAGCCGTTTCCAGTTAAAAATCATGTGCTGGTGTAACTCACTCTGACTCATCAGCTGTTGGTGTGTTATAGCTCTGGAAAAGGGGCTGCATGAAGAGTCCCAGTGTTCCCACCACACACACCAGGATGAAGATCCAAAGAAAGAGGCGATCTATCACCATGGCCACGTATTTCCAGTCCTCGATGATCTGGAATAAAACCAATGGTAAAAATTGTGACAGGTTGGATTGTTGATAACATACTATGTTGTTTAAACTAATCCCCTTTGACCACATGTTCTCTTAAGTTTTGTATCAATAGTTAATCTATTTTTAACACAACTGTAAAAACCTTTCTCCTTAACAACTCTTTTCTTCTGAGATATCTGGAGGTATCTGGAAGGCAGTACAGAAAAAGAGACCAGAGTTCAGGTCTGTTAGCAAATATTTTTAACTCCAATTCATACGAATGAGCGGAAGAGGCTGGATTAAAGAAATAATCTGTCTTGAGCAATTAAAAACAAGAAAAACATGTTAGATGAAAAGAACATTTCAAAACCCTTGGCCAGTGTTTGTGTCAGTGCTCCTGGTAAAGTCAACCTAGATGCATTAGTGAACAGATGTCTATTTTTACTCCTTACTTGAATAGTTTTGATCGTTCCAGATTAAAATAAAAGTGCAAGAGACCAAAATGGCATTTTAAAATAAATAAGTCTATCTAGAACTTTATTTCCTGGACTAAAACATCACAACGTATATTTGTGGGAAGTGGGAAGAGATGACCACATGGCTGGCAATCCTTCTGAAAAACAAACCTGTAATATGAGGCATGCATTTACTTTTTGTCATAGAACCATTTTCCCTACAATTACAGCCTCTACTAAAATGTATAGATACCTACATGTTTTTCCCTTTCATCTTTCAAAATAGCTCAAACTCAGTCTGACTGGATGATGAGCATCAGTGAAGATGTATCTTCTCATCATGCAATGAACCATTTACATTAAGTTCTCTGCTTTGCTTAAGCCATCCTAACAAAAAAAACCTAAAGAGTTCTAAACTTGTATGCTTTGCAAAGGAATTATGATTTCAGTGATGATATTAATTTCAGGTGGTCTATAAATTGACGTTTTTCCTCATTTATCTCCTTACCCCTTCATTGCCATCTTCCATCTTCATGTGTTCGGCAATGTATTTCACCCCATCCACTGCCTCTTCCAGCTCTGCATCCAGCTGCCCTGCTGTAGGCCTCCCAATATCTGGAGAATCCTGGGCATCGCCCACATTCCAGCAACAATTGTATGCCAAGTCCTCGTTAACATAGAAAGAGTTGCGGTCGGCTGGGATTCCACCAAGTCTGGCATCAGAGTGCTGCCTCCTGCCTGTGACACTGTGGGAACCGCTTTTACTGCTGGGATTCCTGCTAGTGAGCTTCTGGCGGAGTTTATTTCGGACATTTGAAGAGCCTGGGCGTCTCATGAGGAGGAAAGTTGCAAGGCGAACCAGAAAGAGGTGTTTGACCCAGTCTGGCATGTAGTGAGTAGATGGGGATCGGTGGTGAACGTTAAGAACACAGGCTGTGCTGACAGTGGAAAATGTAACCAGCACCATGGTAAACATCAAGTATTTGCCTTTGAAATGTTAGGAGAAAAAAAGAGAAAAAAAAATAAAGGCATATCAGTAAATCTTGAATGTACAATAAAGACTTTTATCCATCAATGTCCTTTTTTATAGCCAACGTGAAAGGTAGCTAAAAGGATCTCCTTCACACTCAAGTCTAAGTATACCAGAGTATTACCATAGTACCATGGTATTACCAGAGTAATACCAAGTATTCCAATGTTAAGATTTGTTGGTTCTGTTCTTCCACAAGAAGTGTTAAAGTTATTCTTGAAAAAGAGACAATGACAGAACTTTCATAAACTTGTTAAAAGCCTGAGATAATGAAAAAGAGCTTCAGAGGCTTTCTTAATTTCACGTAGAAATTGTCCTTATTATGCCTTATTATCTCTGAGAGTCCAAAGTTTGAAGCTTTATAATTGAGATGATGATTGTATATATTTATATATATGTATATGTATATATGTAGACCCAATGCTGGTGCTTATTCGTCTCCCTCTAATTCTCCTCTTCTTCACTCTACGTGTAACAAAAAAAAAAAAAAAAATGCTAGTATTGCTTTTCATACTGTGCATGTAAATGGCAAACCTCTACGACCTAAAGGCTTTTTTGATAAACCAGTGCTTGCAGTTTGGAAATGTGAATATTTCTCCACACCTCAAAGGAAAAATCCGGTCAGCAAGGAATAATCAATGGATCATTATTTATACCTAAAACTAATACATTTGTGGTGATTCAATGAATTTAGCGTTAATCAGTAAAAAAAAAAAATTAAAATAATTTTTGTCGCTATCACCTCACTCTTGACATCTTCCAGCAGTGATGTCACGGTACGGCAAGCCGAATGCCATTCTCTCCGCTTTAAAAGCAAAATCAATGGAAACTACTAGAGACAACTACAATCAATAATTATTTAAGATTTTAAGAGGACTGAACCACTGAAATTCACAAGAGCTATAGTTAAACTGACAACAGCCACGTGCATGGCAGTTGGATGTTGTAATGCATCAGGTAAAAGTGAAAAACAAAAAATTGTTATTTCACCTTTCCGATTCATGATCCTCCATGGATGAGTTTGCCTGGTGGCGCCAGTGTACGGCAGCCCCGCTTCTGTCAGTGAGCCCCAGGGCAGCTGTGGCTACAATGTAGCTTGCTACTGTGAGTGTGAATGGGTGAATGAATGTAGTGTAAAGTGCTTTGGTCCAGTCTCCTGACTTGAATAAAGGTGCTATATAAGTACATGCCATTTGCCAACTTGAAGAGCTAGGATTTGCCATTAAACTTCTGGTCAGAGAAAAAACATGTAATATGTAGCCAACATTGCGAAGAAGAATGTTTTCAAGATGACTTGGATAATAGCGCATTGTGACAAACAACAGATACAGTACTGGAACTTGCTCAACAGCTGATACCGCACTATGATGTCACTAACCGGTAGGTGGTAATAGTGTTCTTTGACAAACATGGATGTCTATAGTAAAGCACATTAAAATGAAAAGTACACATAATTTATTGAATAGTATGTAATGATTTAATATTTAAAGTACTTTCAGAGGTTTGTATTATGAATATGACCGGACTTTTCCTTTAAAACAGGCGTGCTCAAGTCCAGTCCTCAAGAGCTACCATCCTGTAACTTTTGAATACATCACTTCTCTAACACCCCTGAATCTAAAGGCTTAATCCCCTCATTTAGCTCAGCAGAGGCATGGTAACAAGCCACTGATTTAATTCTGGTGTGGGAAAAACAGGCTGCATCAAAAAAGGTACTGGATAGTAGGTCTTGAGGACTGGCCTTGAGCACCCATGGCTTAAACCATGCATATGACAGTCTCTCTGTGCAAATGACTATGAATTGTTTAGTCTCACTTAAAGTTCTCAAATAACCAATACATCCAGGTGCTTACTGGTCAAACATTTTGGATAAAGTACTCTACACCAAACCAAGGAGAAGCATTTTGGAAATGTCATGTGGCTTAGAAATGAATATCATGGTTTGGAATTATACTACCGGTACACTTTTGATGCTTCCCAGAGAACCTCTTTAAGACTTTGGAAAGGCCCTCAACATTTGTTCAGTTCTTTTTGGCGCAGCTTTTGGCCCAATCTCGAAAACACTCCCCTACCAACTTTGTAGCCCAACCCCTAAATTTTACAAGTTTCAGTAAGGGTAGGAGTGTCCCAATTCCAGGCCTCAGCTAGTGGGTGTCTGCGCTTGAGGTAGGGACATTAAACAGTCGTTATTGACAAAATTGAACAGATTTTTTTAAATAATGACTTAAAAGCCTCTAAAGAGCATTCCACATTTCATCCTTTATCAACATAATTCTCTCTGTCTTTATTTATGATTAAAATAAATGTCATGGCATTCTATTATTGTATCCCATTTTTTTACATATTTATTACACTAGAAATTGTCATCTAGGTTTAATAATCACTGTTAAAGACTAATCATACCTGATAAAGGAAAAGGATAGTTAACCAAGCTCAACTTATTCCCTTTTAGAAATTGAAAGTTTAATAGTGGCTTTTTTGTTGTTGTTTTTTTTTAAAAAAACAAGGCTTTTTCTCCTCACTTATCATGGCACATATCTTATGTATATAAGATATAAAATCTCTAAATGTTGTGGCCTCAATTCCAGGGTGTATGGGTAGTGGGTGAGGGCCTGGTGTGAAGAGCCCCTTGATATAGATGTTTCTTTAAATGAGAAAAGTGATATTTAGATATTAAAGTTTGAACAGAAAAGTTAAATCAAATATGAGATCATTCTTTTTGTTTGTTTTAACAGTAACATAAATATCAACAGCTTTTCTAGCTTCAAGGTTGTGGCTTGGTTTTTATTCATTCCCACAGGGGATTAATAGAATTAGCATTCTATAAACCCTTTAAAATACTGTAAAGAAAACAAAATGTTCACAAACCTATGAGCGGTACTGCTAGAGATGTGGGTGGCACAATCTTGGATATCAGCAGGAGGAACACAGTGAGAGCCAGCAGCACAGAGATACACAGTGTCATCTTCTCCCTGCAGTCTGAAGGCAAATAGAAAACCAGGATGGCCAACGAAGTTATCAGCACACACGGGATGATTAGATTGATGGTATAAAATAGAGGCTTTCGCTTGATCACAAAATCATAAGTGATGTCAAGGTAGGTGATGTCATTAGGGTCCTCGTTTTTGCGGGCTGGGAGTGAGACAATGTCCCACTCTCCACTCGGGGTAAAGTCGTCTCGGCTGGCAAAGTCACTGGTGAGGATAAGGTCCACCTCTGTGTGGTCGTATGTCCAGGAGCGAAACTTGAGGGTGCAGTTCTGTTGGTCAAAAGGAAAATTCTGCACCTCGATGGAGCAGGCAGACTTGTAAATAGCTGGAGGAAGCCAGGCTATATCACCCGTGTTGGACACTAGAGTGTTGCAGTAGAAGGAAACTTCATAGACTCCATCAGCACTGCAATACATTCAAAGATTAGTCAAAAAATATACAAAACTGCACCTGTTATGCTTTAAATGGGATGCATTGCGCCTACTTACTTATTATAGAGTACTATGTCAGGAAGCCAGATCAGTTTGGATGGTATTCGCAGTGTTTTGATGCCTTCATATTTGTCCGGGTCCCATCTTAGTCTGTAGTCATGCCATCCCTATAGTAAGACCTACTTAGTTACCAGCAAACCAAAAATACATTAACTGAAGTAACAAAGAATGTTAGAGAATGACAGCAGGGTACCTGAGACAGCCATACGTTGGTGGTCATTATCTGCTCTCTCTCATTCTGGATAAAGAAAATAGTCATTTATGTTCAACATTAATTCACATTGTTTTAATGTTTTGCTTTTTAAAGAAAGGTTAATAATTTTTATAAGTTTAGGTCAGAATTGAACAGTAGATGATCATACAAGTTAAGAGTTCTGATAATGACCCTTTCAAATTATGATAAAGCAGTATAATACCAGTTGTCACTCATTGTGTTGACTCTATAATTTATATATACTGCAACCACTTATAATCAAGCCTCTGCTTCCGTCATTTTGTGAGATGAAAGCTAAAAACAGGAGGTTGGACAGACCGATGCTGTTTGCTACAGTGCATATTGACATATTGTGTCCTGTTGTCTG